TCTGCCTTATGGGTCAGTACCCCTATTGCAATACTACACCATCCCTAAGTTTTTATAATCATATTCCTGAGAAAACGCTAAAACCGTAATGATCATTCAGAGCTAGGAAAATGAGGTTAATCACGTTTGATCGGCGACAAGGAAGGCCTACTAGTGTACATTCCTTGGACCAATATCCCTTCACCAGTATCATGGTATCTTTCTACAAGAGTTCTCTGCAATAAAGTGTTGGGATAGAGTATTCTTCTGTTCTTCTGAAGGAATGGAAACCTTCACCAAGACTTCTACTAATATACTTCTAATATACCTCCGTGTATATATTTTAAAAAGAAATATCGAAATATTTTTTGTTGTTACACAGCTGGGTATTTCTCCCAAAATTTTACATTCTGTTTACTAAAATACTACCACTACTACTACTACTACTACTAATAATAATAATAATAATAATAATAATATAGTAGGCCACCACCTTTCATACCTACAGAAGCTGCGTTTCCGTGAGTTCACGATTAATTTTTGTACCTATTTCCACCTTTCTATCTGCGTTTGTTTTGCGCTTCGACACTATCAGCCATCGCGGCGGCACAGGCAGACTGGTTGTCTGTTATTTGCCTGTTAACTGGCGGTCAAACCAATCAGTATGGATGACAGAGAAATTATTTGTTGACTGGTTTAAGCACCAATTTACTCATGAGTCCTTTCTGTTTGAATTCCCAGATGGAATCTACTCACAGAGTCAAAAAGCACGAGGAAGAGCAATCTGCAGAGAAACAGTTAACATTTCAAAAATTAGTGAACAGTTCCATGTTGCTCTTAAACATGCGGATTTTTTCAGTGAAGTGGAATCTGACATACTGAGAAGCACTGCTCTGAAATGATCGCTTGACTAAGTAATAATATTCTACCGTGAGCTGTATAAAGTACTGCTGGGTAATATACAGCAGATACTCATAACAGAATACTTAAAGTGATCCACTTCAGCCAGTAAATCCCAGCCGTTCTCTTCAACCAGTGAACCATAGTCATCCATTTCAGAGAGCAAACCACAGCCATCCACTGCAGTTGACGAACTACAGCCATCCATTTCAACCCACGAACCCCAGCCATCCACTTCACCTAGCGAACCACAGTCATCCACTTCAGCTTACGAACACCAGCCATCCATTTCAACCAGCGTTCCTCAGCCATCCACTTCAGCCCACAAATCCTAGTCATCCATTTCAACCCACGAACCCCCAACCGTCCACTTCACTAGCGAACCCCAGTCCTCTACTTCAGCCCACGAACACTAGCCATCCAGTTCAACCAGAGAACATCAGCCATCTACTTCAGCCCACGTGCCCCAGCCCTCCATTTCTCCCAGTGAATTCCGGCCATTTACTTCCTCCCAAAACCTCAGCCGTCCGGAAAATATCTAATGGTTACTTGTTCATATCAGGATGTTATCTCAAGAAAACTGTCTTAGTATTTGCTTGTTATCTTATGATTCATCTCATTTTTGCTGGCTGTTATCTATGAATACACTAGACAGGACGTTATCTTAAAATTCTTCCAACTTCACAATGAGAGTATTTCCCTCGTAACCGATAACATGATATCCTCTTTTGTATTAATTTCAGAACCCCAGACTTTAACTTGAGAACCCCTCGACAGTAACTTACAAGTATCCTAACATTTACTTGCGAACCCTGATAACTTACTCTAGAACCTTAAAACATTAATTTGTGAACCCTCCTTATATTACATTGAAAGCTTTCATTAATTAATTTGAGAACCTACTTACATTATTTTGAGAACCTCCGTATATTAACATGAGAACCTCCATACATTAACTTGAGAACCTCCGCACATTAACTTGAGAACCTCCATATATTAACTTGAGAACCTCCATACATTAACTTGAGAACCTCCATACATTAACTTGAGAACCTCCGCACATTAACTTGAGAACCTCCATACATTAACTTGAGAACCTCCGCACATTAACTTGAGAACCTCCATACATTAACTTGAGAACCTCCGCACATTAACTTGAGAACCTCCATACATTAACTTGAGAACTTCCATACTTTAACTTGAGAACTTCCATACATTAATTTGAGAACTTCCATACATTAATTTGAGAACTTCCATACATTAACATGAGAACTTCCATACATTAACTTGAGAACTTCCATACATTAACTTGAGAACTTCCATACATTAACTTGAGAACTTCCATACATTAACTTGAGAACTTCCATACATTAATTTGAGAACTTCCATACATTAATTTGAGAACTTCCATACATTAATTTGAGAACTTCCATACATTAATTTGAGAACTTCCATACATTAATTTGAGAACTTCCATACATTAATTTGAGAACTTCCTATACATTAATTTGAGAACTTCCATACATTAATTTGAGAACTTCCATACATTAATTTGAGAACTTCCATACATTAATTTGAGAACTTCCATACATTAATTGAGAACTTCCATACATTAATTTGAGAACTTCCATACATTAATTTGAGAACTTCCATACATTAATTTGAGAACTTCCATACATTAATTTGAGAACTTCCATACATTAATTTGAGAACTTCCATACATTAATTTGAGAACTTCCATACATTAATTTGAGAACTTCCATACATTAATTTGAGAACTTCCATACATTAATTTGAGAACTTCCATACATTAATTTGAGAACTTCCATACATTAATTTGAGAACTTCCATACATTATTTGAGAACTTCCATACATTAATTTGAGAACTTCCATACATTAATTTGAGAACTTCCATACATTAATTTGAGAACTTCCATACATTAATTTGAGAACTTCCATACATTAATTTGAGAACTTCCATACATTAATTTGAGAACTTCCATACATTAACTTGAGAACTTCCATACATTAATTGAGAACTTCCATACATTAATTTGAGAACTTCCATACATTAACTTGAGAACTTCCATACATTAACTTGAGAACTTCCATACATTAATTTGAGAACTTCCATACATTAATTTGAGAACTTCCATACATTATCTTGAGAACTTTCAAAACATAAATATGAGAATCTCTAAGCATTAACTTGAAAATATATGTACGTTATGTTAAGAGCTTACACACATTAACTTTACATCATTAAAAATTGCATATAATAATTTGTGAACCCTCATCACAGTAACTTCAGGACCCCCAAACATTAACTTGAGAACCTCCATACAATAAATTTAGAATCCTTCATACATTAGCTTCATAACCATTACACATTAATTTAAGAACCTCATTAAATTTAGGAGAAGTCTCAATTTTTAATCTTGATATACCACATATATTAACCTGAGAACACTCCATACATTGACATGAGAACACTCCATACATTAACCTGAGAACATTCCATACATTGACATGAGAACACTCCATACATTAACCTGAGAACACTCCATACATTAACATGAGAACACTCCATACATTAACATGAGAACACTCCATACATTAACCTGAGAACACTCCATACATTGACATGAGAACACTCCATACATTAACATGAGAACACTCCATACATTAACCTGAGAACACTCCATACATTAACATGAGAACACTCCATACATTAACCTGAGAACACTCCATACATTAACATGAGAACACTCCATACATTAACATTGAGAACACTCCATACATTAACATGAGAACACTCCATACATTAACATGAGAACACTCCATACATTAACCTGAGAACACTCCATACATTAACATGAGAACACTCCATACATTAACCTGGAACACTCCATACATTGACATGAGAACACTCCATACATTAACATGAGAACACTCCATACATTAACCTGAGGAACACTCCATACATTAACATGAGAACACTCCATACATTAACCTGAGAACACTCCATACATTAACATGAGAACACTCCATACATTAACATGAGAACACTCCATACATTAACATGAGAACACTCCATACATTAACATGAGAACACTCCATACATTAACCTGAGAACACTCCATACATTAACCTGAGAACACTCCATACATTAACATGAGAACAATCCATACATTAACCTGAGAACACTCCATACATTAACATGAGAACACTCCATACATTAACATGAGAACACTCCATACATTAACATGAGAACACTCCATACATTAACCTGAGAACACTCCATACATTAACATGAGAACACTCCATACATTAACATGAGAACAATCCATACATTAACATGAGAACACTCCATACATTAACATGAGAACACTCCATACATTAACCTGAGAACACTCCATACATTAACCTTAGAACACTCCATACATTAACATGAGAACACTCCATACATTAATATGAAAACACTCCATACATTAATATGAAAACACTCCATATATTAGCATGAGAACACTCCATACATTAACATGAGAACACTCCATACATTAACATGAGAATACACGTATATAAGCTTGAGAACACCCATCCATTAACTTGAGATTATCCATACATTAACTTGAGAACACCGATACATTAGCTTGAGAACACCCATACATTAACTTGAGATTATCCATACATTAACATGAGAACACACGTACATAAGCTTGAGAACACCCATCCATTAACTTGAGATTATCCATACATTAGCATGAGAACACCCATATATTAACTTGAGAACACCCATACATTAACTTGAGAACACCGATACATTAGCTTGAGAACACCCATACATTAACTTGAGATTATCCATACATTAACATGAGAACACACGTACATAAGCTTGAGAACACCCATCCATTAACTTGAGATTATCCATACATTAGCATGAGAACACCCATACATTAACATGAGAACACCCATACATTAATTTGAGAACATCCATACATTAAAATGAGAATACACCACATAAATTATTTTTTAGGGTGAAGAAGAACAAGTATATTAGATCATTTCACGTCATCAAAATATAGGATTGGCTTTGTTTTATCAGTTAGGAGTGACCAAAACATCTTTTTACAGTGCTAATAAGTGTAAACTTCTTGCCTGATCTCATTTTTAGATTTTTTCTCTTTTTTTGGGGAGGAGGGCGATCTTTTTGGAACTTGGTCAAATTAACTTACATAAATACTTCTTAAAGTACACCAAATATGAACGAAATTGGACAACAAATTAAGAAACAGGTCGAACCAGTCGCATTGCCCCTTAAGCTCATTTACTGTAATTGAATCTTAAGAATCTATCTTCCATTTTGCAAAAATAGGCATCATATTTGCCATTATCCTTTTGTGTTGGATGATACTCGTTTTAGCAATTTGCTTAAGAGGCTAGCTAAAAGTCTGTTAAGTTCCTCCTAACATATCTTTAGAACCCTTAAGAAATGTCTGACAGGGACCGGTGACTTGTTAAATGTTAATCCATGTATTAATTAGAGGACCATGTCACGAGTGATTTTGATCATGTATATTTTATTTTGCCCTGGCCTGTAATCTTTTTTTGGGGGGATCTCAACTGTATCCTTTTGTTTAAAAACAGATAAGAAATAAGTATCAAAAATGTTTCACATTACTGAGTCACTAACAGTAAGCTGACATAAGATACATTTAAGTGGTCTTATTCTTTGCCAAATCTTGCTGCTAATGCATGAGATCGGAATCCCTCCCTCTGATTTGATTAATTCAATAGCCATCCTGTATTTGATAAGCAAAATCTCCCTTCAAAGTTTGATCATATCGTTTCGTCCAGCACTGAGATTGATAATTGGGTAGTTTCCAGTATCTGACCAAATGTTATCTTTCCTATTAGCTATATCACCCATTCCAGTTCCAAGAAAATCCACCCTATCTAGCCCTCCTTTTCCTAATATTGAATTTTCTACGTATCTCATTTGCTAGTCCCCAACACTAAGTATATTTGGATAAGATATAGTAAAAAATACCTAGAGTTGTAAAATAAGACACGTGCAGTGAATGTCGGATTATTTAGGGAACGTTTCCTCAGGAATGACCTCTCCTGTTCGACGTAGATAACTACAGAGGGTGAAGCACAGGAAAAATGGTTCAGGACCAGTGTAGATCACAGCGGTGGGAGAAACACTTGCTTGGTACGGGATAATAGACTCGTGTTCCAAAACTTCATCTTCTAGGTGATGTGTAAAAATAATTTAGACAATATTTCTGAAATAATAAACCTGACAGAATGCTGGGACATAGTGTAGATAATAATAATCAAAGCACTTTCCAGTCAATGCCGTTTGATTAAGTTTTATTCACATATGGTGAGCTTAGCTTCGTTGAATTTCACGAGGCGATTGTGGGTATTACAGCGGATTATACAAGCATTGTATTGGTCAACCCTTCCATGCATTGGGGATAATCAATACAGTACCTGCATCATCCACTGTAACACCACAATAACCTGATAAAATTCAACGAGGTCAAACTTGTTATCTGCAAAGATCTAATCAGACGGCACTGTTTTCCAGGACTAGCAATTTTATTTATTCAGAAGTCTTGGCTATATAATTCTTCATCTTCTTTTCACATGTTAGAGAGGAGCGAGTGGAAGCAAATGGTTTTAATGACTTGATGTGCTGTTGGAATGTGGGTTTTATGAGCACAGGTGAAGTCTAGTGACCTGTACACCTACCTGCAGCACGATAACCTAGGCAAGAACAAGCAAAAGAGCAGCAGAGTAAATACTTATATTCCCTTCACCAAAAAGCAAGCAGGTATATACGATATATACAGATTGACGAGTGTACCACATCGCTTCACAACTTTGCTGGGCTTCAATTTCTTTGGCTGGTTGAATCAAGGTGCTTAGCATAACGAGGGATTCCCTAATCATTTATAACCTTAACACCTGGTTCGCTGGTCGGGAGGGCATGCCACAGCGAGCAAAGTAAGTTATGAAGGGCTTCAGGGAAACTTCGCTCTGAAGGAGTGGTGAAAATATGATGCAGTTTTTGAACTGCAGTGTCGGCTCGCCTCTGCCAAGACAGTAATGGAGTAAATGATGATGAAACCGTTTCTTCTTTTCCGGGTCACCCTGTCTTGGTGGGAAATGGCCGATGCGTTAATAAAAAAAGCACAAAGACAAATTATCACCAAGAAATTTAAATTTTGGAGCACTGCAGCAAGACTACTGGTTCATGCCTGGCAAGTACCTCTTCCACCCTTGCATTCTACACTCGTTCCATCCTCATTTTCTCATGCCACTTCCACTTCATGAACTCTGTCCGTTTACCTGGAGAGAGAGAGTTCCGGGGGGTCAACGCCCCCGCGGCCCGGTCTGTGACCAGGCCTCCTTAGGTCAGTGTCCCAGGATGCGACCCACACCAGTCGACTAACACCCAGGTACCCATTTTACTGATGGGGAACATAGACAACAGGTGGAAAGAAACACGTCCAATGTTTCTACTCTGGCTGGGAATCGAACCCAGGCCCTCACCGTGTGAAGCGAGAGCGTTAACCACCAGGCCACCAGAGCCGTGGATAAGTTTATAGAATTGAAGAAGCAACAAGTGGCGAAATGTTTCCTCAATACAATATCCTAATACTTCATATATGTCTTATTTTACCAAGTATATTCTTTCCTTTATTATAAGAATAGTCATACCTCTCTCCTTGACCACCACTGCACACTGTAACTGAAGTAGAGTAAAGCGACTTCAGTTCTTCTTTAACATTCTTCAGTCTCATCTTTCTCCTTTTTCCGCAAACCGCTTTCCATTCGTTACTACTGATATGTTTTCCTACTCATCTTACCTACTTCGCACTCATGGTCACACTTATCCAAATAAGTTTTAAACTTTTTCTTTTCTTGAGAATTAAAACCTCCTTTTTTACCACTCTACTTCTAAAATACAACAGTCACCCTGAAAATTAACAAAGCAAGCCAGGTTACAAATATAACACTCGAACCATACCACGGGTGGCATTTGTTTGCAATCGTGTCATTACGATTTCGTGAGTCGAGTTATGACACTCGACTCTTATTCCCAGGTAACGAAGCTACAGGACAGGTGACACAACTTTCCTCGGCCGCTCACCTTAGGTAACTCTACAAGCCTGTGTTTGGAAACGTAAGGGTTGAAGTTGACCTGTCACATCTTATCCTATGTTAAGAAACATGGGGCTCGAGACTGACTTCTCTTTTGGGGATCATGATTGATTCCTCACATCTTACCTTGCGTTAGGAAACACATGGTTCCAGCAAAACAAATCGTAGGAAAAAAAAGAAAAGCCGCAGGAAAAACGGTAATATTCTCGACTATTCTCCAGATCGCACATTTTTGTAAACTAACTTATATCTTTAACTTTTTTATTGTATATATTTCTTCAAAACTGTTGTGACTTATTATCTGTGATTGCTGTCTTCACTCTTCTGATCCCGTGTTCTCTGCTTACCTCGCACTCTGTGTTTCGTACTTTCCTTTCACCAATTTTTTCCTACTTACCTTTCGTTCATGCACTTGCTCACCTCTTGCTCTGTGGTTCATGCATACCTTTCGCCCTGATTCTCCTACCAATCTCTCACCTTGTGTTTCCTACGTACCTTTCACCACGTATTTCATTCCATGTTTCTTACTTACAGATTATACTAAGCGGGTGTTTGTGCTTCGGTGCTGGAGTTCTGATGGCCACCGTGTTTTTACACCTTCTGCCAGAGACGAAGGAAACATATGATCACGCTATGAATGTCGGATATATGGTTGCTGTTGATTATCCACTGGCGGAGTTGATCATGTGCATTGGTTTCTTCTTCGTTTATTTGGTCGAGGAAGTTATCCACAGTTGTCTCAACACTCACGAGCAGCAGCAAGAACAGGATGTGTTAGCCACTCCAGGGGGTACGAGAGATAATGAAGATGTAAACAAAGCAAAAATAATGACCTCTGTGAAGAGGAAAAAACATCCATCCATTGAATGTAACGTTACAGGAGTTGAGCTGCAAACAAACGAGGCATTCGATGATGATGAACACATCACTCCAGCCCCAGAAAACGAATGTTCTGAGCAGAGTGCCCATACCACACCTCACATCCACCATCATGTCTCTGGTCTTAACAAAAGCACCTCCGTTATGGAAGCCGTTGTCGTAGTGATTGCTTTGTCGTTCCATAGCATCATGGAGGGTTTGGCAATTGGACTTGAGAGTAACATTGCAGACGTTTGGATCCTCTTTGGTGCAGTGGTAGCTCACAAGTTTGTCATAGCCTTTTGTATATCCATGGAGCTCCTAGAGGTCAGGTTATCCTTTAAACCCTTCATGGCATCCATTGTCATTTTTTCTTTGGCTTCCCCCATTGGTGGCTTCATAGGCGTCCTCCTGCTGTCTCTCGCAACTGAAGAAACTAGTGCAAATGTCTTAATACCCAATGTGCTCCAGTCGATTTCGGCTGGTACGATACTGTACGTTGCCTTCTGTGAGGTTCTAGAGAGAGAACGAGCTAAGAATGAAAGAGGCTTGGTACGGTTATTGGCTCTTTTCGCTGGGTTCTGTGTGATGGCGGGATTGCAGTGTCTTGACAAGGATGGGGAAAATCTCAAAAAAATGACTACGACCCTGCCCTTCCCATCCTCGATAGTGGCAGTGTAAGGGGCAAAATAATGCTATTAAAGATTTTAATACTGAGAAAACTAGATTTTTTTAGATAACTGTAGCGCATTTTGTGGCCAAAGAATCTATGTATATATAATGTTGTCACAGAGAATTCGCAAGCTGAATGTATATCAGTAAAATTTAAGAATATTGTATCTTGGTAGTTTTACAAAGAAAGAAGATAATAAAATCATCTTTGGCATTTCATATTTTGTTACTAATGAGGTCACAATGCATCTCGGCTTTAATTAAGAAAACAGTGAATATTTAACTAGTTATTTGCAAACAGTGAAGAAGAATTGTAATGAAAAGTCAAAGTCTTAGGTTAAGGAAAACACAATTTACGTACAAAGTCTTGAATCATTAGTGTAAATTTGAGAAATGCGTTTTTCAGTGAGAAATGTTTAGCAGCTTTCTGCAGAATCTAACTTTGTCTGTATTTTTTTTAATATTAAACATATTGTATTTAAATGTTAGCCTTTAATTAAGTTTTTAATAAAATTGTTACAGAAATTATCTTTTTTATTCCCACACAGTACTGCTGTCATCGCATATGTAGCAATGTTTACTATTCATTTATAACACTTAATCTTCCATAAAAGAAGCACTGCCATAGGCCGCTGTCCTAAACTGTCTGGGATTAGCATGGGGTGTTACCAAGCACCATGGCTTGTTGTAATGTTTTAGAATCTCAGGTTAAAGTGTTGAAGAAGGAGAATCTACTTCTTTAGAGGGAAAATAGGAGGCTGAAGCTTCGTCTACAAGGTTTGGGAGTGAGTGTGAGATGGCGTTAGCTGGTGAGGAGGAAAATTACCAGCAGTGATTTGAAGAATGGCAGCCGCTTTAAGTGGCAAGTGGTTCACAATTGAGGAACAAGGATGATAAGGAAGATAAATAGAGAAAATGTGAAGGTAGGTAAAGGTACCACTGACTCCCCTGCTTATCAAGGTAAGAATATTCTGATTGTGGGAGATTCTCAGGTAAGATATATGGACTGTGCTTTTCGTAACAGAGACAGAAAGGTCAGAGAGAAGGTGTGCCTCCCATGAGATGGTATTGGTGACATAGCCAGCAGGTCGGATAATATTGTCAGGCAATGTGAACAAGCCCATTATTTGTCTTAGAGCTGGTGGAAATGACATCGGGAATGGCAGGAGACAGGAGCTGGTGGAAATGACATCGGGAACGGCAGGAGACAGAGCTGCTGGATAAGTATAGGTCAGCCACAGGTGTAGTCGGGTTTAAGGGAGAGACCCCAATCATATGTACCATCTTGCCTAGAAAGGGAGTGGGCAATGAATGGATGTCTAGGGCAATTGGTATAAATTGCTGGCTAGACAGGTACTGCAAGGAACTTGCAATCCCATTCATTGATAACTGAAACATTCTATGGTAAACGTGGAGTGGTTGCATTAGCCAATTCGATTGAGGGGGTTATTGGTGACATGTCTAGGACTTTAAACTGATAGATTATAGAGTTATGGGTGTCTGTAGAAAACAATCAGGCTGCAGTACTAGGGTTGAAAACAGCAGATATAACCAGGATACCTCAGGGATATGTTTAAAAGACAATATTCAAAATAAAGTTGCTAGTAAAGGCAAAGTAATTGATCAACAGACAGAGAGAGATAGTAGAGGGTAACGAGTGACTAGCTCCCTTAAAGTTTACTATACAAATAGTAGGAGTCTAAGAAATAAGATAGATGAGCTAAGATTACTTGCAAGTGCAGGTAATATAGACATTATTGCTATAACAGAGAATTGGTTCAACTTGAAAGATAGAGAAATGCCTTCTGAATGCAACATACAGGCTTATAAACAATTCCATACTCATAGGGTCAACGGGAAGGGTGGTGGAATGGCGATGTATGTCAGAGATAATTTAAATTGTTGTGTTAGACAAGGTATAAGATTAGAAACATCGGACACAGAATCTGTTTGGCTACAGTTTCTTGAGGGTCGTGAAAAGTTAATTTTGGGTGTGATTTACAGGCCCCCAAACCTTGATAGAGAGTGCAGTAAGCTGCTATGAGACGAAATTCATAAGGCATCTAGATATGAAAATGTTGTGTTAATGGGAGATTTTAACTTCAGACAAACTGAATGAAACAATGTGGAAGGAAATCTTGAGCCTAGTGACTTTCTTGATACGGTTCAGGATTGCTTTTTAAAACAGTTTGTGACAGAACCAACTAGTGGAAACAATTTACTGGACTTGGTTCTTGCCAACAAAGAATCACTAGTTAATAATCTTGAGGTTAATGATGAGCTTGGGGAAAGCAATCAAAAATCCATTAGTTTCAATATATCACGGAGTTACCCAGATAACTGCAATCAAATCTCTGTCCCAGACTTTCACTTGGCCGATTTCATGGGACTGAAAAATTACCTGGGTGGGGTAAATTGGGATGTCCTGACTATGGGTCAGGTAGGTGATCTTGGTTGCCAATATGGCGTTTTTCAGAGCATGTTCTAGCTACCCAGACAACTTTTATTCCGAGTAGGGAAATTAGATCTAACAAAAATGATCCCAAATGTATGAACAATAGATTAAAACTGGTCAAAAGAGAGGCAAACATAGGGGAGGGGCAGTTAAGAAACCAATATATTCAATTAAAGAGAGAAATAAAAAAAAAGGAATAAGAAAAGCAAAAAGAATTATGAGGCTATGGTCGCAAGGGATTCAAAGACTAACACAAAAGTAAGATCAGGGACAAGATAGGCCCACTTAAGAGTAACGCAGGTCAGATCACTGACAGTGATAAGGATATGTGTGAAATGATGAATTCTTACTTCCTCTCAGTTTTTACCAAGGAAAATACTAGCGAAATTCCAGAAATATTAGATTATGTTGAACAGGACGATAATAAACTATGCACGACTGCGGTAACTAGTGACATGGTCCTCAGACAAATAGAGAAAATAAAACCTAACAAATCCCCATGCCCTGATGAGCTGTTTGCAAGGGTGTTAAAGGGATGTAAAGAGGAACTTAGCATACCTTTGGCTAATCTTTTCAACATATCACTACAAACTAGCATAGTGCCTGATAAATGGAAAATGGCAAATGTAATACCTATTTACGAGGCAGGTAACAGGTCCTTAGCTTCGAACTATAGACCAATAAGCCTTACCTCCATAGTGGGAAAATTTATGGAATCAGTAATTGCCGAAGCAATTCGTAGCCATCTCGAAAGGCATAAACTGATTAATGAATCTCAACACGGTTTTGCAAAGGGGCGTTCCTGTCTTTCGAATTTACTAACTTTCTTCACTAAGGTATTTGAGGAGGTAGATCATGGTATTGAATATGATATTGCGTATATTGACTTCAGTAAGGCTTTCGATAGAGTTCCACATCAGAGGCTATTGAGGAAACTTAGGCACACGGAATAGGAGAATTTTTTTCCTGGGTTGAGGCATAGTTGACGAATAGGAAGCAGAGAGTTTGCATAAATGGGGAGAAATCAGAATGGGGGCCCGTCACAAGCGGTGTTCCTCAGGGGTCAGTGCTGGGTCACTTGTTCACAATCTACATAAACAACATAGATGAGGGAATAAATAGCGAAATAAGCAAATTTACTGATGACACCAAAATAGGCAGACCAATTCACTCTAATGAGGACATTAGAGCACTCCAGGATGATTTGAATAGACTCATGCAGTGGTCGGAGAAGTGGCAGATGCAGTTTAATATACACAAATGCAGGAAAATAACCATGCCACATATAAAGTAAATAATGCAGATCTTAATATTAAGGATTGCGAAAAGGATTTGGGAGTTCTGATTAAGAGTATTCTGAAACTAAGACAACAGTGCATAAGTGTTCGCATTAAAGCTAACAGAATCCTTGGCTTCATATCAAGAAGCATAAATAATAGGAGTCCTCAGGTTGTTCTTCAACTCTATATATCCTTAGTTAGGCCTCATTTAGATTATGCTGCACAGTTTTGGTCACCGTATTACAGAATGGATATAAATGCTCTGGAAAACGTACAAAGGAGGATGACAAAGTTGATCCCATGTATCAGAAATCTTCCCTTTGAGGATAGACTGAGGGCCCTGAATCTGCACTCTCTAGAAAGGCGTAAAATTAGGGGGTATATGATTGAGGTGTATAAATGGAAAACAGGAATTAAAAAGGGGGATGTTATCAGCGTGCTAAAAATATCTAACATAGACAGGACTCGCAGCAATGGCTTTAAGTTGGAAAAATTCAGATTCAGGAAGGATATAGGAAAGCACTGGTTTGGTAACAGAGATGTGGATGAGTGGAACAAACTCCCGAGTACCGTCAAAGAAGCTAAGACGTTGTGTAGTCTTAAAAATAGGTTGGATAAATGCATGAGTGGGTGTGGATGGGTGTGAGTTGGACCTGACTAGCTTGTGCTACTAGGTCGGATGCACTGCTCCTCCCTTAAGTAACGTGTCTGACCTCATTAGGTCAAGGCATTGGCTTAAGCCGGTGGGAGAACTGGAGCTGCCTCGCATAGGTCAGTAGGCCTGTTGCATTGTTCCTTCTTTCTTATGTTCTTATGTTCAAAGTCAGTTAATTAAACTGTGTAGTAGACTGTAAATTCGTCTTCTAAGGGAAGTACGAACACAAAAACATGTTGTACGAGAATGTTAATACAATACCGACAAGATGAAATTAAGACGAACATTAAAATGGTATGAAATACCGACAGATTGTTAGGTAATACACATATGCAACAGTTAGGTATCTTTATTTCGAAACGTTTCGCCTACACAGTAGGCTTCTTCAGTCGAGTACAGAAAGGTTGATAGAAGCAGAAGATACTTGAAGACGATGTAATCAGTCCATCACCCTTAAAGTTTTGAGGTGGTCAGTCCCTCAGTCTGGAGAAGAGCATTGTTCCGTTGTCTGAAACAATATGAAGTTGAAGTGACAGAATGGGGCCTTTATATAGTGCCAGGAGGTGAGACGTAGGTTGCTTTGGGAGGGCAGGTCCTTCTCAAAGTCCTTCTTCAAGTATCTTCTGCTTCTATCAACCTTTCTGTACTCGACTGAAGAAGCCTACTGTGTAGGCGAAACGTTTCGAAATAAAGATACCTAACTGTTGCATATGTGTCTTACCTAACAATCTGTCGGTATTTCATACCATTTTAATGTTCATTCTGTCAGACACTGCAACACAAGGGTATCTTGGTACAGACCACTTCGACAACCTCTACTAGTGAGAACGGCTGGGTTTGAGAAGGACCTGCCCTCCCAAAGCAACCTACGTCTCACCTCCTGGCACTATATAAAGGCCCCATTCTGTCACTTCAACTTCATATTGTTTCAGACAACGGAACAATGCTTTTCTCCAGACTGAGGGACTGACCACCTCAAAACTTTAAGGGTGATGGACTGATTACATCGTCTTCAAGTATCTTC